CCTCTGGAGGTGATTCTCTTTCCTTCAAGTCCCCAATAGCAAGTTTTCTCATGCTGAAAAAACTCTGCCAAGAAGAAAATCCAAAATATAAATACAAGAATCCAAATGATAGCCTGTCCTTAACAGAAACTGCATGCTGCAAATCATAGGCCCAGAAAGTCTTCATCTGTTATTATGCTCCCAAGCCCTTCTTTATTAAAATATATCCAGGATCATCTTTAAACTGAACATGGTATATACTGTATCTTCAGGGAACACAGCTGTGGCTTTGCATTTGGTTAGCACAGACATGAATCAAATATCAACAGTGAATATGATGTCATCTCAGGACAAATAAATGATAGATAGATAGATAGATGATAGATAGATAGATAGATAGATAGATAGATAGATAGATAGATAGGATGATGATGATGATAGATAGATAGATAGATAGATAGATAGATAGATAGATAGATAGATAGATAGATAGATAGATAGATGAGATAGAACCATCCATCCCCTGATGCTACAGCACAAATACACGAAGTAGTCACCACATCTTACACAGAAATCTCAGGTGGCTCACCACTATCAGTAGCTCAACGCCAGCAAATTTACTTCACGATTTCAGGTCTTCTCTGGTTTCTTCACACACCTTTCCATTTCTGAACCAATATCCACTTGAAATCACTCACCCAAATCGTAATAATATACAAGACCACGGGAAAAATAAAATTCCTTTGTTTCAGAAATGCTTAGTTCAAAGGTACTAAGTCTCTAGCAACCATGCACCTGTAAGGTATCAAAAACGAAGCCGCGCAAGTATTTCGGGGAGCTGTAAAGTAAGAGCATCCAGGAGAGGAGCAAAAGGCGGAAACCAGTAAACGTGAAACATCCTGAAAACAGACAAATGTACATTTATCTCCAGATAAAGAGACATCCGGCTCGGCTGTTAGCAAAGAGCCTCCTTCACACGAACCCAAACAGGCCTTTTATCAACATCCAATGATTTCTGAGAGGCGATTACAGTACACAGGATCTTTTCATATTTTAGCTGGCAGCCTCTTGGCTTGTCACCATTTGCCAAACGACAAGTAATCCCCAGCTTAGTTATTTTTATTTAAAAGATTCCTACCATTTCTATTTAAATTTATTTCTCCCATAGCTTGAATATTCATTAAATATTGAAAGGAGCTGGAGTGATGATAAGAATATATCCTAAGAGAAAATGTGTGAGAAAACATCATTCGACTCCGCAAAGGGTCTGTGTTCTGCTGGTGGTTGTCATGAGCAGGAGTCATCTGGAACCTCCTTTCCTCCCCGTACGTTGTTGCTTACCGGAACGCACCGTCTAAATAGCACTGAAATTAACGCCACCACATAAATATCTGTGAACATGTGTAGCTCAGACTTACAGCTGCTTAAATCGTCAAAGCCATATAGTCTGGATTTACCCACACTGAGTGCCTACGATTGCCTCCTAAAACCCAGATGATCTCCAAGTAGTTTAGTAACTTGCATTAACGGTCACATTCTGAGGATGCAGAGGGTGAGACGAAAGAGCACATTTCATGCCGATGCTTTCGTGGTCACACTCATCACCAAGCCACAAACATAGTGCGCAATGAATAAGCAATAGGCAAACAGACGATTCTCCTTGATATTTGCTTTTCTTTTCTTTTTAAAACTTTATTGGTGCTGGCGGGAGGTGCCTTTGTGTGTATGAGTCTGTGTACTTGTCCATCCATGAATGTGTGGGTGATAGGCTGACCTCAGATGTCTTCCTCATACATGCTGTTCTTCATTTTCTGGAACATGATCTCTTACTTAAGCTGGAGTTTAGTTTGTGATAGACGTGCCAGCCACTGAGCCCCCGGGACCACCTGTCTCCACCCTCTTACCTACAACTTGGACTAGAGACACAGCACAAGACCATCTGGCTACATCCACTGGGACTTTCACATGATTACAAGGGATCCGAACTCGGGTCCTTATGCCTTTTGTAGTAAATGCTGTGACCACTAAGCCCCTCTTCCCAGGCTCCAACACTTCTTAATCTCACTATGAGACAATAACAGCCTTCACCCTTATGGGTGAGTTATATATAAGTCCATTCTAAACAGGCTTGCTTTAAAGGAAGGTTTTTTTTTTAACTTCATTGTGTGTGTGTGTGTGTGTGTTTCATTGGTGCGGATGGAGGCATTGTAGTCCCAGCACTCGTGTTTTAACATTTTGAATGACAATTATTTCTAACTTAGAAAATACTTTATTTCTTTCCCATATATTACATCCCATCTGCAGTTTCCCCTCCGTCCATTCCTCCCTTGCATCCCCCACCGCCTCTCATCCTCAGATCCACTCCTCTACCATTTTCCTTTAGATAAGAGCAGGCCTCCCAGGGATATCAACCGAGCATAGCATAATGAGTTAAAATAAGACTAGGCACATAACCACACAGCAAGGCTGGATGGGGCAACCCGGTAGGAAGAAAAGGGTTTCAAGAGCAGGCACGAGAGTCAGCAACAACCCCACACTCTGCTAGGAGTCCCACAAGAAACACAACTTTAAGAATAATGGTTCTAAGAAAGCCTTCAGGCCCACCTATTTGACAACAGGATCTTTTAGATGTTTCAAAAGAAAAACATCCCCCAAGAATAGATTCAAAAATGGTTAACAGCACTGAACTCTACTGTAGAAGTCAGACTCAAGCATATTTACTCAGGATCCGCTCCTGGAACACTGTGTAAACACTGTGTAAACAAGAATAGCATCTCTATCACCAAAGAACTGTGCAACCAACTAGGGCGGGAAAAACAATGCACCAAATGGCAATGGAAGGCATGTCCATCATTATCAAGATAGACTATCAGGAAACAGTAGTTAACATAAGGAATCCATGTGTTTGCAAACAATTCCCAGCATAGAGAAGGAATGCAATCCACAACTGTGGCACACAGGAGACACCCCCGTGGAAAGAACTTTTGAACTAAGTTGTAGTTGAGAAGGTTTATCTGTGACTTACAAAAAAAAGGTCAATCCACATAGTCAAAATAAGGGAAGGAGATTCAAGAGCGCAGAAGTGCCAGTACTCGGAGTTTGCAGGGAGATTTTGGCATACTTCATAAAATTTCATGCAAATTTGTTTTAAAGAAAAGCTTTAATATTATCAGATTTCTTAGAATGAGATTTGAACCTTAGACTATGTATGTAATCATGGTTATAAAGAAAATATTATGCCTTTGAGCCTAAGAGCTCTGTCTCTAAATGAGTCACAGAGATTAGAAATTTCTACTGCAAGTACTTATAGTAAGTGTATTACAAATGAAGTGAACATTTTATCTATGTATTTGTAAAATGACAGAAGACTAAGCAACCTTGAGTCTCTACCTCTACATACACAATCAATACTTCCATAAAACAAGGTGAATCTTTACTCTGAAATTAAGTATAAAAGTTTTCTTTAGATCATACCCAAGAAATCAGTTATTCACAGGACAGCATGGATTCCATAACTGAATGAGTGGACAGCTTCACCTTGGAACAGCAATCAATGTCCATACAGGTGGACACAGGTTCAGTAGGGGATTGTTGCCTGTGACTTGCCATTCACTTACCAGCATCTGCTGTCTGAGCTGCCTGGCCAGGATGCTGTCCTGAAGAGCATTCTCCCGCTGAGAGGCATCTGCCAACACATTCACTGTGGTTTCTGCTTCCTGAAGCCACTTGGTCAAGTTCTCCAAGTCTCTACGAGAAGTCTGCACTGTCCGAAGTTCAGTCTCCAAGGCACTCTGTCTGTCAGTGATGCTAAAAGAAACAATGTGGCAGATACAGTTTTGTGACTTACAAGGTAACATCACACATTATCTGTATGTAAGACAAAATTAACAGCTAGCCTCAGAGGAACTGCCACCCTTTAAATCATCAAATGTAACTCTGCCGTTTCTTCATCTGTTGATATCCTATTTTTAATATTTATTTATTTGTTTATTATGTATACAATATTCTGTCTGTGTGTATGTCTGCAGGCCAGAAGAGGGCACCAGACCTCATTACAGATGGTTGTGAGCCACCATGTGGTTGCCAGGAATTGAACTCAGGACCTTTGGAAGAGCAGGCAATGCTCTTAACCACTGAGCCATCTCTCCAGCCCCAATCTGTTGGTATCCTTAAGGAAATCTTAAGTGATTTGTGAGATACGGACACAGAGACCTAGAAATATTAACAAAGCACACCCATACCATCAAATAATTAGGCCTGCATTTTACATATCATATTTGTACATTAATATAGTCTCTTATAGATTTATACCTTATCTATGCATTTCCATAAAAGGGATGTCAATTAAAATTCAATATCAATACATATTCATATATCACTGACTAAATGGGAAGGAGCAAATAAAAAGAAATATTTACGATTTAAATACTTAAATATTTAATAAACGTAAGGGCTAATGTGTGCAGCTCAATGATAAAGCACTTGCCTAATATTTACATGGCCCTAGGCACAATCCCTCACACTACAAAGACAATATTAACTTTTAGCACTTACTAATAATCCAAGTAAATACAAGGTGATTTAATAATATTTGACTTAATATATTTAATACCATAATAATATTTAGTAACATTAATTTAATATTTATTAATATTTAGAAGACACTAGACAGATAAACTTTTATGAATGTTTCATTAGTTCTACATCAAAACTAGAGCACTGGGAGTTACACAAATTGGAAAAGACACATACTTGTATAGTCAACATTTAAAACATTATATACCTCAAAGCTTCTCAGACAAATTGGTTTTTTAAATAGGTGCTGGGCTGGAAAGATGGACCAATCCATGATTAGTAGTACTTAATGTACAATCATGAGGATGGGAATTTGGGTCCCAGCAAGTAACAAGTCCACATGTGCCTATAATTCTAACTCCAAGGGATACAATCGATATAATTCCTATTTAGGCCTCTATGCAGGCAGGCAGACTAATGACAGACAGATGCACACACACAAAAAAACTAAAATAAATCTTAATTTTAAAAACTGGGCACCAACAATTTCAGTCCTTTTCATTTAGACCCAGGAAAACTGGAACTGTATGTTCATACAAAGCCTCACACACAAATGTTGAGAATATCATCATTCAGAATATGGAAACATCACAGCTCATCCTATGAAGGAAGAACGGATCAATGGGATATTATACATCAATACATGAACAATTACTCAATCATAGAATCAAAAAGAAAAAAGTCCCAAGAAGCAAGCTAACATACCCATACCACAGAAACATTACGTAAGAGAAGGAATCCACAAACGGAAGTGGGAAATACAGATTTTCCCACTTCAGGGAAATCTCTAAAGCAGATAAACTCAAAGAGAGTGAAAGCAAATGACTTATCCCCTAGGACCACAAACAACCCAAACAGGAACTTAAAGTATGGTCTATGCAAGCAATAGACTATGACTCAGACACCAAGACAAACGATGTACAGTGACATGGGCAGGCTCTCAAATGCACACCGCTAAGTGAAAGAAGCCAGATACAAAAACTCCAGTGAATCCACTCACGTGACATAACCTGGGATGACACAATCATACCATCATTCACTCCCCAAAGTTTCTGCAGTCACATTTGTCTAGGAAATAAGCCCAAATTGCCTGACTTGGAATGTGATGTTCTTTATAATTTATAAACAATTCCTTTTCCCAACTTTATCCTCTACTTTTCCCTCACATTCTCTTTACGACCATGGAATATGTCTCAGTTCCTTCTAGAATATTATTGATGGTATGATCATCTAAAAATTTTATATCCATATGACAGTATCCTTCCCATCATCTCCATTAACAAAATCATACCCATCTTCTACAGTTTAGAGCGTGTGTCTTCTAGACTACTCCTTCTTATCTTTCCTCACTCTGGGCTTATAAAAGGTCAGTGAGCCGCTTTATATCGAAAATAATCACGTGTGTTCTAGAAAGGTCCTTAGATTCTGATCAAATCTCACACTACACTTTTACAATATATAGAGATTTCTGATCTGTCCACTTACTCTATAACCTACAGGCAGAAGTTGGTTTCTATAGTTCCACATTCATCGAGTCCTTAATACAGAATTATGACATTCACAAGCAATCCATCTGGCCATAATACGCCTTTGAGATCTGCTCCCAAGCACCATTTTCCTGGAGACTGCGAGTCATAGACTACATAAAACTTTACGTTTCATGAAGGAGGAAGGTTCTAGAACCAAAGAAACAAGATTCCCAACACCAGAAAATACCAAGGAGCTCTTTGATGATGAGAAAGGGGATCAGAGAAAAAAAAGTGTGTGGCCATTCTGATTGCTCTGAAAATGCTGTGTTAACTCAACAAAACCTAAAAAAAAGGAAAAACCAAACCATGAGATCCAAAAGAGAAACTGCACACTGAGAGAAAAAGAATAGACATACTCAGTATGGTGGGTACTAACAGGCTCAGAAAGCGTGGCTGCCAGAGAGACGCCTTCAAGGTAAAGATATTAGAAGTGACAGATTGCTCAACATGGTAAACTTTGTAGAAAATTACACTGTTGTGCTACTGGAAAGATGCAAGAAGAAATTAGCAAGAGGAACAAGAAAATTACACATTCAAAACCAACATAAATATTAACTTCAGATAAAACAAACAAACAAAAAGTTCTGTGAGACCCTGACTCAAGAGAATAAGACAGAGAACAAGACAGGAAGACTTCTGATGTTCTCCTCTGGCCTCCACATGAACACAGATGGGACACACACACACACGCACGCACACACACACACACACACACACACACACACACAGAGGCATATACCACACATACGCATAAAAATAAACTTTTTAAACGTAACAAAGAACATTGAAATTTAAACTCTGCTTATAGAAGTCTAAATGATTTTCTGTTATTATAATGAATCACAGTGGAGGATAAGCTCAGGGGTAGAATGCTTGCCTACTGCATGCACTGTCCTGATTCCTGTAACCAAAAACCAATTATCACAGTTCGCATACATATGTCACTTTGTGTTCTGATTTTTGAGGTTAATATAATTTATATAAATTTTCTAGTAGAATGCAGCTCAGTTAAGTCCCTCCTAGTTTATTAAATTTCTACTTCTAAAATTAGATCCAATGCTAGTGTGGTATACTGGGTATTATAAAAATCATTTATCCATTTTCAAGAAACTATGGGTGATTCATCATAAGAAAAATAAGATGAAAATTAGAGGTTCAGAACTATATACACACAATTAACCAGACAAGCTAAGAAATTACCTTTAATACGCCTTGTAGGCTACCCTCAAAAGAACTTAATTTTGCCTCCTCTCTCATTTCCCAGGGACATGGCTTAGGGTAAATCATTTAAAATCTTTGCTTTATTTGTTCCATCCTTAAAATGAAGAGCTTGGGCTGCAGATGAGTGAGAGAGCCATTGCAGACACTCCAGGGGTCCTGTTCAAACTGGGTCATCCATTGCTAAAGATGGCAGAAGATAATGTAGGAGTTCATCCATCGCTGCCCACATGCTCGCTACAGATTCCACAGTGTTAAGGAGTCTCTGCTTGTCCATGGATGGTTACTGGTGAAAACATGAGCAGAGTGCAGACAGCAAGGAGTCTGGGAGGCATCGGCATCGATCCATTGATCCCAAGGCTCCTATGACCACTTCTGGTACTGAACTCATATTCATCTGGGTGTCTAGGGAACATATGTGCGTGCAGAAGCTAAAGGATAAACTCTGATGATGTCATTCCTGAGACACCATCTACCTTTTTTTTTTTTTTTTTTTTTTGACACAGTCTGTCAGAGGCCTGGAACTTGCCATGCAAGCTACCCTGGCTGGCGACTGAGCCCCAGAAATCTGCCTATCTCTGCCTCCCAGCCCTGGGATTACAAGTACATACCACCATGTCTGACTATTTTTCCTTTTTTTTTTTAGAAACATAGGTTGTGGGGAATCGAGCTCAGGTCCTAATTCCAACTCTCAATTTGCTGAGTTTCAAATAAGACCAGAAAGAAGTAGAGGAAATCCTGAGAAAGAGTTGATGGATATAAAGGAAGGAGTATATTATGACCAGAAGAAAGGCTTCAACCTTAGGAAATGTCTGTTTGGAAGACAATGGCAGGGACTTTTTAAAAATCTATAAACCTACAAAATCAAAAAAAAAATAAGAATAGGCTGAAAACATGTAAAATAACATTTGAAGTCTACAAAAGGGGAATTTAGCTAAAATATTTTTATGCTTCAAACAAAAGGAATAAGTGACTACAGGACACAAAGGAAACAGAAATAGCTTCATATAGAAGTTGGAAGGACATCCATGGTGACACACTTGTGGTAGTTTATATTAAAGGGAACTAGGATTTTCTAAAATATCAACTCTTAGCTTTCACATGATATCTGTAATAAAACTCGCTGCGCTAGTCTATAAAATAAGCCGATAGCCATTTTGTAACATAAAATATGGCCACCCACATAGCAGGCTTTTGGAAATGTCATCCTAAAGATGTTAGGCAATATTTGATATTTTTAAGCTATAAAAGGTAATATACTATACAATGAAGGTTTTGTATTGCTCATAATTGGTCAAAGAGAATATTCTTACAACTATGGGTCTTTCTTACAAAAAACAGGCATGTTTAAGAAAGCCACAGTTGTGTTTGATAATTTTGATGTTTTAAAAGATGACCTCTGCAGTGGTATAAGACTTAAATGAATTCATCTCTTTCTGAGTAGACAATGGTAGCACCATCCTGAGTGGCAGGTAGAAAAATTAG